TTGAGAAAGATCCTGCATGCAGTTCAGTACATTATTAATTAAATCAGACATGCCAAACAAGAAGTGAAAAGGAAACACTTTGAGCAGCTATCCTGTCAGTCTGCAGTAAAAGGAGAGTTGGCAGCTGAGATGCAGACATTCCTGGAAGAGCAGCTTCTGTGGTGCTAATCCAATCTCAGATATTCAAATGCTTTGATTTTCACAGCCATCAAAAACCTCAGCCGAAAGGAGAAATGGATGCATTAGCCAGACTACGAGAGCATCAGAATGACTGAAAAGATGCAGAGCTACAGGAGTGGAAGACCACAGTTTATCCTCAGTACAACAGGACAACACGCAGCTTGTTACTGCGGGTCCAATGTACCAAATTTAACACTGCGTGTAGGACTGTGAGCCTCCCCAGTGTATTTGCAGCTACATTTTAAGTGAGTAGTTAGTCCATAAGATACATCCTGGCATCTGGGAAAAAAAGAATATGTACAAGTCTGAAGGGAGTGATTCAAAATGCGGACAAGTGTGCAGTGGAGCTTTCCAGCACGCACAGAAGACAGCCGGGCTGAGCTACCCGGCTGCAGAGCTGCAGCAGTTCTCGTGGGCTGGCTGCCCTAATGGGATGTAGTCTGGAAGGGGAGGGCACGGGTTTGGTTTGGATTTTGGTTTCTTTAAGCAAATAGTTACAAGCTGTAATACCTTCAGGACAATTAGACACCTTTCCCAATGGGTTCATTTAGACACCTGGATGCTGTACACAGGCACGCACCCACAGCAGGACCCAGCAGTAAAAGTCTCCTCTTCTGCCGCAGGGATCCAACATGACCACAGGTACTTCACGTGGAAACATTACTAAAGCGGACTGGCAGTATCACTTGGGAGTTAAATCAGCCCCCTGAACATTTTTCTGCAGGGTGTACATACATCCTGTCATGTTAAACGCAACCTAGTTCTTCCCTTATGGGCAAGTATTCAGCTAATATTTCAGAACAGCAGCTTGGTACCAGCTGAAATCCACAGATCTTAGCAGCTCAAACTGCACAAGATTCTTTAAGAAATTCTCTGTTATAGTTGTCCTGAAGCACACCAAGAATGAGCAAACCAGAAGGTGGAATATGAACTGACAGAGTAGGAAAACAAAAGTCTAAAAAAAAAAAATCAGCCAATTTTCACTCTATTTATGGTTGTATTTGGAGATACTTTTTTTTTTTTCCTGATTTAAACCTTAGATATGCTGGGAAAGACTGCATGTCTTGTTACTGCTCTGGGTTTAAAACTGGACTGAATGGTTTAGAGGTTCAATTTCATAATTCTATCACAAAATCTGTCTGGCAAGATGGGAACAGAAAATGGGAAGGATACCATCCATACTTGTGAAATAAAATTATTCCACCTATTAATCAGTGTAACAGTTATTTATAGCAATCACATTTCATCCAGTCATTGCTTTATAATGTTTGGGTGTTCAGCCACTTGTGTAAGATGTTTTCGTTTAGTACAATCACCACTCTGTGCAAATAAATTCCAAGCTACGTTATTCAGAAAATAAATTTGTGATCTTCAGTCTTCAATTCCATTACTTTGCAGTGGAAATCCAGCTCACTTCTGAGTCACCTCTTCAGAGCTGGGAATTGCTTGCTAATACAGGAACTGGAAGAAGCATGCACATGCAAAGAGTAAATAAATGCTGAACGTGCTGCCGAAGCGGATGCCCTAGCAGAAAGCTGCAACCTCAGTGCCTCTTCAGGCCGACACCAAGCCTGCCCCAGAGCAGCCCAGCAGGGGCCACGCACCCGTAGGACACCCGCACCCTGTGGGTGTGCTGAGCCCTGCCCCACCACACCACCCTCCCTGCTGCCCCGCTCACAGGCAGCTGATGAGGGGATTTCAGATCTGTTCAGAGATAAGTTATAAATTGTAATTTGCTGTTTATTTAATGAAACTCATTGAGACTAATCCTCATTTTCTAGCAAGTGTAAAAAAGTTCCATTTAATTAAAATTAATGACCTTCATGCCTACAAAAGATTTTCAGGCTTGGAGGATTAGATTTAACACTCTGAAAGAGGCAAGCACACATGCGATGTTCAATTAAATAGAGAAAAATCTGTGAAAAAGACCATCGTTTCTGTTGATACTTTAAACTTTTCCTTGAAGGGGGAAAATATAGTTATTGCAGAAAAAACACATTTGCTAATACCGGCTACTCTCCGCAATTGCAAAAATATGTTTGTACTTTAATTGCTTCCAGTAAATTTACTGAAATAACATTCACCACTTTTTAATTTCCATTTTTCAGAATTAATATCACAAAGAAAAAAATTGGATATAATGTCATTAAAAAGGCTTTCTTAATACGTGGCATTTCAGACATGGCAGATTTTAGAAGCTAATGGCAAAATTAAATTAAAGGTTCTGACATAAAACATGGAGATTAAGCAAATAGCGAACTACATTTGGCTGTGAAACATTTCCCTCATACAAAGCCTATATTGCATACTGTTATCTCTATGTACAATTTATTAGAGGAAAGTCATTAAAATCCTCTTTATATTCAAATTTTGATATTACTTGCAAAGTTGATAGATAGCTAGATTTAAAGAAAAGAACACACACTCAAGAGAAAATTTTTATTTGAAAAGTTTTCTTCATCTCAGCAAAAAAATCAAGTTTCACTTTGGCAGATAATGCCAAATTAAGACAAAATACCACAGCTGCTCATTCTGCTCCGCAGGCATACTCTAAGCATAACAGGCTCACGGAGCACCACCAGTTCCTGTATTAGCGAACCTGCCAGTACTGCCGCTCACGCTAAGCAGGAAAGCTGTGGGTTTTTTGATGGAAGCTCAGCACAGACCCGCCTTCACACCTCAGCACTGCCAAGCAGTGACTAGATGCTGGGAGGGGGCACGGCTCCGCTTCCCTCCCCTCTAAACTGAACTGCTCAGCCCTGGAGGAGAAGCCACCACCTCCCCCCAGCACCACACAGCCCTGGATGCTGGGGACAGGGACAGCCCCAAGGCACAGGTCAAGGCCACACAAAGCTCTCCTGCTTCATTGCAGCTGTAAGAAGTAGCATTTATTTGTAACCAAGTTATTGTGCATACTTTGCTGTGTTTCTGATTTGCAATGGGGGATTTTTAATGAAATAATGCATTTCTGCTGTAGATAGATGCCTGTATTTTAGGCTGAGTATCACACTGAAATTCTGAAATCCCTCTTTATTTAAGTTACTGTGGTAAAGCAGAACATGACAAATTGATGTGTGGGAGTTGAGTGTTCTTAATTTTCTAATTAGTGTTTAAAAAATACCCCCCTCCAAATAATAATCATAAAAAAGCTTACAAGTAAAAGCCCAGCAAATACAACAACCTTGATACCATACTTGGGTTAAGGAAAAACTGAATTCCTCACCACCACTTTCTCAAAAGCTGTCCTTTCTGAGGCCATACTCAACCCCTACCATTCACCCGAGATACTAAGGGCTATATTAAATGTAAGATTTTATGGTCTGAAACTATAGCTGCTTTCCATACTGATACGATTTTCAAATGGAAAAAAAAAATAGTTCTATTTCTCTAAAGGCCACCATTTCATTTGGTGTTGTATTTTACTCATTAATCACTGTTGAAGAACATTTCTCATGGCCCCGCTGATAATCCTCACAGCTTGTTGAATTTCACCAAGCTGCAAGTGTTTTATATATTTGCTCATTTGTTTTAAAAAAGTAACTTTCAAAAATTTCTCCTGAAGCAGCATCTGTGTTTGCATATATTTTAATTTATTCCTTGAAGTTTACTTGTTAGTGGCTTTTCCTTCTCCACACTTCAGTGCTAAAATCTGAGGCAAAAATGCTTTTTACCATGCTGTCATTTTGGTTTAAGGAAGGAATTAAATCTGCATGAACTGTGTGCCATTGCTCCTGCACCCCCCAGCAGCAGCCCCAGCACCTCGCTGCAGGGCCACAGGGTCAGGACAAGTACAGGGGACTTCTTCCCTCTCTATGATCAAAACTTACAAAATGCAAAATAACAGGTTCAGAAGAGGTTTCTAAAGATTCACTTACCACTCCCCTTAAAAACAGAGACTTGAAATCAAACAGGCTCCTGCCAATACCCAGCACCCAGGCCTCGTGCAGGCAGTCAGTGAGGATTTATCGGGTGGCACAGAGAAATGCAGCACAGAGCACCTGGGGCTCAGCTGTGACGCTAGCTGCCTGCCACCTGCACACCCATAGCATGAGATAAGGAAATTGGGTAGCAGTTCAGACTGGGGTAGCCTCTAGAGGTTACAGGAGATCCTTAACATTTTCCAGGTACTTATGGCTGCGTGGGGACTTCTGGCTGGTGAACCTGAGCTGGGAGCATGACTGAGCACTGAGGTCCCTTTTCAGCAGTCACTCAAACAAGTTCCTCCCATGACACATTTGCATCCTTAGGCAGGTCCTGGCATCACTGCATCTTGTGCTTACAGGAAAAAAGGAATTATAGGGACACATTTCATCCCTATAAAATTTCAGGTACTCCAGGTAGGTATTTTGTGTTTATATAATGTGTTTCTCCAACTACTTTTTCCTCAGCCAGTTGCTTGTAACCAGCACCTAAAGCAAAGCACTAGTCATGAGGCTGAATGAGTTGGTAGTCTCCAGTATCCAGCTTTGCACAGATCATTCACCCTGAAGCTCAAGAAGAATTCTTGAGGCCCTTTGCTGAAATATATCCCAATTACCCATCACCACTAATTACTTTCCAATGCATTTAGGACAGCAGTCATGAATCATAACCTCATCTGCTCATTGCCAGAGCACGATGCAGTACCAGGGGCTCTCAGAACACCTTCAGGGAGCACCAAGATGTAACAGCTTCCCGAGAAAGCTCTCTAATGGAGCTGGGAAAAGAGTCTTTTAAAAGCACACTCATGAACTGATCCAAAGGCAATTTTGTTCCAGCATCCAAACAATTCTTCAAAACATGCAGCATTAAAATTTAAAAGAAAGAAAACTCAAACAAACCTTTCCTCGGTCTGGCAGCTTTAACAAGTCACAGGTTCCCAGAGATCGCACCTTGGTCCCAAAAGCTCTCTCCTTGCCCGTGACACCCTTTTATACCTGTCTGAGGGAGCAGCCCTGGCTCCTGCCCTCCCCTGGCTGGCCGGGGGTGCCAGGTGGCTGCTGTGAGTCGATCAACCTAATCATCACTGGGGGGGTCAAGCTCCTGCTGAAGCTGCTACCCGTTGCCACACTCTGAGGATTCAGATCGTGGGTCTGTAATTCACACTGCTAATTTCCACTACAGGTGGCTAATCTTCTGAAATGATCTTCAAAAGCCAGCAGTGCTCTTGGGCTTCTGGAGTTATTGTGCCACTGCTGCGTAAAGCCAAGTAGCTTGTAATTTTCCGTGCATGTACTTTGATTTCAAAATCCGACATAGTAGATAAGCATTAGTTGAAATAATTGTAGAAACTGCTTCTACTAAAGCATCTTTAATACAAATGAGGTATCATTAGCAGCAAGACACTTATTTTATTACAATTGTTTAAGACTTAGCAGTGATTATTGTTGGCACACATACTGAAGTAAAAATCCTTTGACATTATTTTGGTTAATACACTTAAAATGTTGTACTAATAGAATAATTAAAGAAAAAGAGAGACAAAAATAAACAGAAAGCAAAGCTCAGGCAACCAAAGAGAACAAACTGCATCGCGTGTGCAGGCGCAGCGCCACCTCCGCGCACCCGCTGCAACCCGGGCAGGGGAGCCGGGGCACGGGGCACACGTGGTGGCTGCAGGAACGCACGAGGGCAGGAGGAGCCGAGCAGGGAGAGCACGTAGGTGTGACGGCAGCGCAGGGCGAGGAGGCGGCAGTGGCACAAGAGGGGGCGGCTCAGCTTCGGCCATGGCAGCGAGAGGAGAGCGCCCTGCCAGCGGGTGGGCGGCAGTGACACGGCCACAGGGGACAGTGCCACAGCTTGAAGGGACGTGAACACGGTTGGCAGCCATGTCTCGGGTGGCCTAGGTGACATCCTAGCTGGGATCATTGGTCGCTTAAATTTAACCTGGGCAAGTTTCATTTCTGAGTGAGAGAATAGAAGCAGCAGATTGTGGGCAGATGCTGCGTGCACTTCTGTTGTGTTTGCTGTGTTCGTACAGAGCTGCACAGGGAAAATGATCTCCAGATGCCAACTGACAGCATCTAGGAGTTTATAGAAGAATTACAAAGCCAGGAAGGAAGGAAAGGAGAGAGGGGAAGGGGAAGGGGAAGGGGAAGGGGAAGGGGAAGGGGAAGGGGAAGGGGAAGGGGAAGGGAAGGGGAAGGGAAGGGAAGGGAAGAAGAGCACATATTTAATCCCCAATGCAATCTTCTGAAAAAATAAAATAAAATCAAGCAGCCAAAAAAAACAGTATAAGATTCTCCTCTGAACACAGAAACTGGGACACCTGCAGACAAGGCTTTCACAAGTGAAGACCACCTCACTTCTCCCTGTGCTGCTCTGATTGCAGGGAGGGAGCTCAAAATGTCTCCCTGTGCTCAGGGGGAGGTGGAGCAGCTCTGCTCACCTGCCTGCTGCAGCGTGTTCAGCTCAGGGAGCTGCTTGCAGCTACCCCAGCACCGCCCTGCGCTGCCCTGCGAAGCCCTGGATTTAATGCCTGCTCCCAGGGCTGGCAGGAAGCCACACAGAAATACAAAACTGAGTCCCTGGAAATGGATTCTGGCAATGTCAACGTTTTATGTGCCATTTAGATGCTGTTTCTAAGCAAGCTGTCACTAAGAAAGAGTTCAAAATCCAACCTGCCACCTCAATAATAAAAAAAGGAATTCTGAATAATAGTGCCAGAAAATCAAATTTAAAAAATCCCTGCTTCATTAAATCAATTGAAATTGATTGGGGGGGGGGGGGGGGGGAGGAGAGCAGAGGGGCAGTGATAACTGGCATCCCTGAACAGCAAGGTGGAAAGACAAAGTTTGGTGAGGGGTGAGGGGCATAGACACAGGTTTCAGAGGAGAGAGCCTGCACCCTGGTGTCATTCACATTCCAAGACTGGCTTCAGATAGTGAATAGCAAGTAAAGCCCGTGCTGAGCGGTGTGATCACGCTTGCCGTGTCTGCACTGGGCTGCTCGGCAGGGGCTCATCCAGCAGCAACCCACCGAGGGAGGCCACTGCCTGCTCCCTGCCCACAGCACTCAGTGGGGCGCTGAGCCAGGCCAGGCTGCTTCGTACAGAACAGCTGCCCCAGCAGCTCTCTGATCAGCTGTTTGTGCTTCTAAGAAACTCTTCGGTCCCTGTGAAAGAGAAGGTGCTTTCCTCCAGCCTGAAGAAATCTGAGAAATACGTCTGAGAAATGCAGTCTTTGTAAAACAAACCCTTGTTTTCAGTGGTGCAACTCATTCAAGGAAACGTGTTCTGCATGGCCCTACATGCTGCTGCAACGCCACCGCCTGCACCCGAGCATGTGAAGAAACAGCAGGGCATGAGTCTAAAACAGTCCAAAAGGCAAGGAAAAACAGAAAGTGCACTTTTAGTGGGCACAGTTTATTGAGCAGCACTCTTGAAGCTTTATGTCTTGATAGCAGAGTTTACAATGCTCTTCTGTAGGACAGGGAATATGGAACAGTTCAGTTGTCTGTTACAGAAACTTCAGTGTATTTAGGCTTGATTCAAATGCTCCTAAATGCTAAATTGCTTGTCAACAAAGTGTGTATAAACATACAACACAGAAAAATATATAAATAAAAATGTGACAATGCGATTTCAATGAGTTAGAATATAGGAAGGATTCAAAGGCATAGGTGGGAATTCAAAGATATAGGTAGAAATCAAAGTGAGATTTAGGGATCTATATCTTCAGAGGCTCAACCTATGTCTTCTATAGTTGCACTGAGCCACATTCAGTTAGCTAGCTCAGATTTTGCTATCTTTGTGATGAGGAAAGCTCAGGCTCCATATGGACTCCTCTTGGAGACCTGCCCATGTTGCTGGGTTGGTTTTGCACGATTTGCTAGAGCCTTCGCTGGTGTGGGTACCCTATTATCTCCATGGCTCCTGGCAGGTTTAACACCAGCGAGAGTTTGTCTGCCTGAATTACGATATAACCATGCTCTTTAGTAGCACCTGTGTCATAAAAGGCTAGCACTTAAGCCTAAATTATATTATTAGGTATAATTCCACCCATTTGGCCAGTAGAATGACTGAGTTCAGTGTAAGCATCACTGGGGTCAGGGGATGTTACCACACCCAGCACAGGGAAAGAATCTCTGCACATCAGAAACAGCAGAGGATGAAGATGATGTACTGCATAGCTTGTTTTTCTAGATTCGTTTAGTGGAATTAAGTATTTTTGTGTCCTGAAATCAAACTGTCCTGGTTTGTTAGTGGGTAAAACCAGGCAACAGGAAAATAACCTGCCCCGATGTGGCTGAGGAGACCGACTCTGGGCTTGTGGCTCCGTCACGGGCTGAAGCAGGACACAGAGCTCCTTTGCCCCAGTGGTCACAGCTCAGGATGCCCGAGCCCACTGAAGTAAGACCTTTGGGTAAGCCTTCCCTTCGGAAGGTGGCAGTGCCCCGGGGGCTGCAGTCTGGGAGCAGAGGGGACCATGCCCAAGGGAGCAGCCAGCACGGCTCTACAGAAACCGCGTGCTGCCACCGGGATCAATAACATACCAAGTAATGTGGAAGCAGCACTGGGGGTGTGAGACCAGCAGCACAAAGCCGGCAAGGAACGCCGCTGCCAGCACCTCATTTTCATAGCTCAGGGCTCTGCTCCCTAGCAAGGAGCAGGAGATGGCAGCTCCAGCAGCAAGCTCGAACAGAAGAGGAAGCGTCAAACAGATGGCTTCAATTACAGTCCAGGCACTGAATGTGAATAATGACTGTGCAGCTGACATAATATTAAGAGTGTTGTTAACGCTGCTAATTGTTAAAGAGGAGCCTGCTAAGCGAGGATGGATCACACTTCATCAGTACCTGCACAAGAGCATTATTAACTTCCCGCGGAACGGCCTCAGGTTAAGGCTACAGAATGAGGGTCAGGTTTTGAGACAGCCGATGTGGAGCAGGTGAATTAATACAGGGCGGAAGGTATTCAGGGGGTGGGTATGGCTGTAGTGTGCCGATAACTGAATTCTGTGGTTGAATCTCCACCACAATATCACTAATGTTTGTTGTTGTGTTAACGCCAGACAGCTTTAATACTTGTTATTTACTATTTAACTTATGTCAAATGCATGTGCCTGACAATCACTAGGCTAGGTGGTCAGTATTTTGTTTCAGTATAACAAAACATAAACATTACCCAAAGAGTAAGAGTATTCGTTCCATCCCAAGCTCAGATGTGCGAACTAGGATCTCATTCTCTCTCTGATTTCAGGTGCAATTTTTCTCTTACTCTCTGCCTGATGAGACGAGTTACATCATTTTCCTATTGCTTTGGTGCAGATGATGTTGCTAACAACAGCTGCAAAATAAGAGGCTATATTCTATCTGGATCTTACTCAAGGTTTTGCTAAGAGCTTACCACTCATAGCTGGGAGCAGCAGGAACCTTCTGGAGTCTGTGGATGTTCATTCTTTCCTACACACTTGAAGGTCACATCATAAGTGGCTGCGTTTCCAGAAGAGCTCAAAATCACTTCAGACACGTGAACAGAAGAGCTGCTTTGAAAATACAGCTCCAGCACTGCCTGCAGAAGACTTCAGTATTTAACCCATAAAAGCCTTTTGCTGCTCAACAACTTTTGCAAGGAGTGCAGGAGCTGAGGCTCCCCCCCCCCCCGTGGCACGTGTGCTGCCGAGGAGAGGGGAAGAATGAACAGCAAGGGCAAGGTCTAGGAGATGTCAGTTATTTAAGACACCTCGAAGAGCCTGCGAAATGAAAGGTAGCAGGATATCACGTTTGCTACACGTAAGACACTGGGAGGTGGCACTCGGAGCTGCGACGTGCCCTGACCCAGTTCCCACTGCAGGCACAGCTCTGCCGCTCCGCACGGTAGCCATGGAAGTGAGAAAAGGAGGGGGCTCACCCCGCTCCCAAAAGGCAAAGGCAACAGGTTTCTGCCATTCATTTATCTCTTTCAGCCAGAAAACAAACAAATAACAAAAACAAACAAACAGCAACAGAAACAGAGCAGTGCGGAGGGAGCCAGGTTTAC